GTAAAACTTGAACAAAAAATTACTCTTTTTTTTTTTTTTCTTTTGTTTTTATTTCGTAACCGTTACATTGAAAATGCAATGCAAAGTGAAAACGATCAAATCATCTGAACGTCTTTTTAACAGTTTTTCAAGAGCAAAATTGTGTTCGGTTTTTTCTTTTTGTCTTTTTTCTCTGCCTGCCTGCCTTTCCAATACAATAATTTAAGTGAAAGTTGTTCATGACGTTTTGAAACGCTGATAAAGCACATGCTGTTTTAAATAAAAAAAAAATAAAAAAAAAATAAAAACAATTTATTAAACTAAAAAACTTTATGTGTGTGTGTATGAGATTGAAACAATGACAATTCCCTAAAGAAGAAAATCTCATCGAGATGTGGAGAATTTATAAAAAAAAAAAAAAGAAACAATGCGTTTATCTTACGCGATTGTAAAATTTTTGTGTTTACTTTTCCAAAAAAAAAAAACAAAAAAAAAAAAACTGAAAAAGAAATAGTTCCACCGGCCACTTTAACTGTGCAATATAGAATGTGAACGAAGGTGGCCATTTAAAGACGTCTGCGGATTTTCTCCTGATTTTCATGTGTTGAAAAACCAACGAAAAGTCACGTAGGTTAGGTGGATGGATAGATTTCTGAAATTTCCATTTGCCACAATTACCATAAATGCCGTACATCTCTCTGGATGCAGCGAATTTTCATAGCTTTCGTGGCAAAGTGTAGAGCATCATTACTCGATATCCATACGGGTTTGGCTGAACGAGTGATCTTAATAAATTTATTAGAAATTAACTTAACGTTGTCATCCTTATCAAAATTAGGAAAATTCCACATTTTTTTACATTCCGTCGCTTAGTATTTTTTAATCCCTGCAGCACTTAACTTAAGTTTGTGCGGGTGCATATAATATCCAGAATTGAGATAGACCAACCAGTTGTTATCCAAAAATTAAGCCGACTGTCCATTCTGTTTTCTTGTATTCAACCTAAAGATCGGAATTTTTGAAAATGGTTTAATAAAATTTGTTATACTAATGACGAGCACTATTGAAAATAGTTTAGATCGGACCATTTTTTCGACCACTGCTCGTATTATGTCTTAATATGAAAGGTTTTAACCGTGCACCGTGGCCCGCTATAGAATTTTTCGAGGAGAGACGACGCTTTAATGGTAATTTGGTGTACCGATTTGTTTGGACCAATGCTATTGAAACCGACATTTCTTGCTCTTGAGCGAAGACACTTCAGTGCAGCAAATCAAAAATTATGGGATATAAGTTAAGTACAAGGAAACAAATCATACGGATGGACAGACAAGCTTAAACCGGTATAATAAGACAAGGATCTATGTGAAGTTCTTCTGTGCGTTGCATAAACTTGATATACTTTTGTATCACAAATGATCTGGAGTTTAAGAGCAGCAAGCATCCAAGTAGTTTCGAGGGCGAACTTGTCTACCCCATAATACTTGATCACAAAAAGGAAAAACTTTCGCAAATACCTTGACGCAGTGATAGGGATTCATTTCGGATAGCGTAACCACAATCTGTCGTGATTTAATTAGCTGACGTGCATAACACGAGTTGCGGAGGAACTTATAACCGCCACCATTTTAATTACCACTTCAAAACAAAAACAACTACGCGCCAATTAAATACTAAGTAAAATAACCGAAATATGTAATCAATAAAGCTACGGCAACGTTAGGACGCAAGTGTGTTGTGATAGAAAGTTTCTTATACCCATTGCCGAAGAATGGGGGATATATTCATTTTACGAAAGCCTTTGGAATACCCAGACGCAAGCTTCAGACACCACATACAGTGTATTCTCGATCAACATCGAATTCTGATTTGATTTAAGCTCGCCCGTCTGTCCGTCCGTCTAATGTCTGTTGCAAATATTCTCCTGGCCGCAGAAATGAAGCAGTCGGCCTCAAGTTTTTGACAGAAACATTGACAGTTTGTGCATGTAAGTTTGTAGCGAAAATGGTATAAATCAGTCGAACGACACGCCCACAGTAAAAAAAATTTGCTTTTTTTCTCGTTATTCAAGAACAATAGCAAACCAATGTACAAAAATTTGAAGGCATATTCTATGGGCGTTGCTGTAGCACTCGTACAAAAATGGAAAAAATTGACCACGCCTGTTCAATATTAAAGTGTATCAAAATTTGAATTCTTATTTTTTTACCTATATAACGCACTGAAACATGTGTAAATTTTGGGCCAATTTCAAATTTGGAATGCATCTAAGCATGTCCGTCTGCCCAACTGCATAGTATCTGTGGTGAACACTCTCCCATTAACGAAAATGAATATATTTTTGACTTTTCAACAGGCACGCCTATAACGCCCCGCATGCTTATTGGACCGAAACTTTTATTTTCAAAATAAAAACAATTTAGCCGCGCTCGCTCCATATCATAGAGCAGGATAATGTAGTTCTTTAACTTTTTTTGTCTTTTTTTAAGATAACAGTGATGGGTGTAAAAGATTCGTTCACGACCGAGTATAATATTCTTACTTGTTATGTATTTATCTATTTATTTACACACAAAACTCGGCTGAAGTAAATTTATAGCCGAATTCAAATCAACTCTTAGAAGTAAATCTTATACGAATTATTATTAAGTGCTAATATAAAGTAAAAAGAAATAACAAAAATAATAATTGAAGTAACAAAAAGGTAAAGTATAAAGAAAAAAAAGAAAAGAAGCATGTACACAACTAGCACAGAGGCACACCCGCAACCAGTACAGAAGAAAGTTGCAAGTGAACCCCTAAGCCATTGCAAACATGCAAAAGCTGAGCAACCGATAATAGTAAACAAGACCAGTTAATTTTCGAATCATAGTGAAATGTTAAGATCGGAAGTTAGTTCAAATACAATATAGGCGTATCGCGCATATTAAGGGTACTTGTTTCGATCGACTTTAAAGAGTTTCATATTTAGATTAAGTGATAGACATTTTTTTTTTTGGTGTTTGCAAACAACTCTGAACGGGTTGAACAGCTCATAATTATATTTACATTGACCAAGCTTCATGAAGATAAAGTTCTTTCTTAGAGAAGCGACGGCGAATCGAAATGGCTATTAATTAAATTAATTAAAAAAGAAACACCAAGTGACGGTACGTAGAACACAATCAGCCTATTTTCATAAGTAGGCGGACAGACAAGCAGGTCCCAAACCAAATTTCTGAGGAAAAGATTTGTTTTTGAAGGAACTCAATTGGATTTAGATAGCACCTGTAGCAAGGAGAGCACACAACCTTACAGTATGTATATATATTGTTGATCAACAACAAATTCTGTACCGATATGAACGAGTCTATCCGCCGGTCCATCTGTTCGTACACAGTAAAAGAGAATTGATAGTCTAAGCAAGACTTAAAGTTAAAATATTAAGTGTTGGCAAAGTACGTCTACGTTGAGGTCCATATATAGAATTGTTCAACATCAATCCCAGATAATACGATAAGATGGTAAAAGTTGTCTTCCCTAAGATCTTTCGATAGTAAGGGTATGAATGGAGGGAAAGCTTTACGAAATTGACTCAAGATCCTTACCCTAAGCAAAATTGTAACTAATTTACTGGCTCCGTCACTCCTCTGTTTAGATATTCCAAAAGAACAAATACTGCATAGCCCGTCGATAAAGCGGATAAAGAGATAAAATTGAATTATGAAAATCATTTACCAAAAAATATATTGCTGAAGAAGCATTGTTTTCGATAAAAGACGAATGATTGGAGAGACAAGTTTTCGAAATCGGCTAAAGACACTTAGCCTAAGCAAAAGAGTAACTAACTGCTAACTCTGTCACTACTATTATTGCAAACGGGCAAATTCCACAAAGTGCGTCGGCAAAGCGGGTGAAGAGATAATTGAATTATGAAAGCCGTTTACCCAAGGGAAGTTTTTCGATGGAGTAACAATGTCTATAGCGTAATAAACGACACCATTAAAATATTGCCTTTAAGCTTTATCCAATGGTAGAATGAGTTACCATGTTACATTATCTTTCGAGCTTTAAATAGTATATGCTAGCAAGAAACAAGCAAGCAAGAAGCAAAAGACCAAAATGCCGGCAAATATTTCGACGCTCGACCCTAATATTGCACCAATTCACTAAAGAAGTATTAGAAGTATTGACTACTACTACTACTTCATGCAGGATTTATTGGACGATTCCGTCTTATAACTACTATATGTCGTAATTGACCCTCTATGGTACCTATTTGAAGCAGTCCTTTCAATCTTATAGCTATACCTAATAATACATTCTTCTCCTCAGACGGCACAAAATTGACATGTTGCCAAAAAGACAGCAAACGGGAAGAAAAACTTTATTTTACTAAAAAAAAAAAGGAAAAAAAACCCGAAAAGTGACTCAAGCTTAATTTCAACTTTGTACCACATTTTTATTTTATTTATTTCAAATAATGCAATACACGAAGCCCTTCGACCGCCATTAAATGAATATATAAATATTTATGCCAACCATAGAGTATGGAAAGAATGTTTAGTTATTTTATTAGCCAACAGTTATCAAACATTTTTTACGTTCATCGTATGTATGTAAGGCAATCAATCACTGCATAATTATATGCCTTAAAGGACGACAATTAATTATTGTTCAAGCTTCTTAAAAGTTATTCCATCAATGAATTTTTTTTTTATCATTAAACGCAACACAAATCAAATTCTCCTTAATTAAGATTTTGCTATAAAACATATGTTGATAAGAGCATAACTAAAGGAAGGACTAGCTTTACAAACATATGGAAACTTAATGTAGCCATAGGAAGCGTAAGTTTTAATAAAGAAAGACGTCGAAGCGGTAAACGATATATTTTAGAATATTAATGCGGTATTTAAAATCGTATGCAACATATATTTATACAATAATTGCGAAAATCTCTGACTACCTCAAAGCACTTCAAATGTTATAAATGATTCATGCGAGTATCATAAAAATAAAAGCAAGAAAAGACAACTCACCACGGATGTTTGGCATAAAGCCATTTGTACTTTCTTCTCCGCCAGTTTAAGGCCGGTGCTTGGGTTCCCAGAAACAGAAAAAGTCGGTCTAACAGAAGAATTGATTCCAATTATAACAATACAATAAAAAGTTCGTTACTCGCGCACAGTATAAACAATGCGTTTAAATTTCCCTCGTTATTTATTTAATAAATAGTTAATGTCTGTATTGTAGTTGTTGTTGTTGTTGTCGCTATTTATTGTTATTGTTGTTAATTGATTAGTTTGATATGTGTGCTATTGAAAACACACAGAAACATACACATGCACACACTTTTTGACCGAAATTCATGCAACACGTAACAAACCACATATTCGGCAACAGCAAAAGCACACGGTAGTGGTTCATCATTATGATTATCATTATCATCATCATCATCATCATCCAGTAAATAGGAGGATGCAAAAAAGAAAAATAGAAACCAAACGCAATCATTCCGTTGACACAGACGACGGCAAAGTGCGCATAAAGAAAAAAAATTAAGTTAAATATGTCTTAAATATGCGAAACATATGATTAGTAACACATACACAACGCAGAGCAAAGCGAAAGTATTATCGAAAAAGTAGAAAATTTTCTACTTTTTAAGAAAAAAAAAAAAAAAAAATTATATATATATATTTTAATTATATTGAGAAAAAAAAGAAAACTAAAAAATACCACTTATTACATTTTAAATGATTGCAAGTTATTCAAGAACAAAGAATCTCCACGAAATTACGTCCATCCGACTTGAGTTAAACTTTGCGAATGAAACCATTTTCTCACTCAATTGTCAGTAAACATGGTTGTACATCAGCCAGTGCTGTCGAAATACAATAATTCAAGAATTTTATTCTATTTAGCAAACTAACTGCAGTAGATATCCTTGCAATGGAAAATAAAAATCGGAAACGAAAAGTTAACTAACGAATATTACAAAGCGAAAAATCCTGTCTTCTTTGAATTGCAATGAATTGTTAGAAAGAATCTTTCTTAACATAAGTTTTTTTCTTATTATTTATTGACTTTGCTTATGAATTTTCAACATTCTCTCTTATACTGTGCTAAGATACTTGACTCTGGTAACTCTGATAAGAGAAAAATATACGAAAGTTTTCCCTTCACGGATAGATAAAACTACTCAGAAAATTGACGTAATTAGTCAAATGCACATGGAAAATTATTTATAGCAAGGACTAGCATAAATTCCCATAGACTAAAAGGCTTTGCGAGATGAACGCAAAGCTAAATCTTAGAACGAAATGACGAGGCTTATATAGTTGCATACGGATTTTATGATGGCACAAACAAACACACACACACGCACGCACACAAAGTAAATACACACCCAATAGATTATGTGCATAAGTAACGTTCAGTAGTATGCGTGGAACATGTTGTATTAAGAATGCTTTTAGGTGACCAAGTGTAGAAATGAGAGTGCAATATTTCATTACTTACGTCGACTGGCTTCTCATTTGAGTAAAAAAATCTTAAAGTAATATCCCATTTGGTTATATATTTTCTACTTTTTGTAAGCTTTCATTTTCTGAATTATTATTTATTATAGTAAGAGTTTCTGTACTAACGGACGTTCTTCCCCTTGTAATATCGAAAAATTTTAATCATAGACCTGACGTTATATATAAATTATTGATAAAAGCGTGATTTTGAATCGATAAAACTGTGTTTATTTTTGTCTGCAATCCGTCTGTCTAGACGATTATTAAAATGTTTCCAGCAAAAAGTGAAAAATGTAGTCTATCTTCTTATTTAATATATATTCTCTAATTAATGATTAAAGATCCAATTCAAATATGGGCGAAATTTTGACGAAAGTTTTGTATACATTTGGGAACGTATATGAATTTAATCACACGGAAAACTTCAGTAATTGAGGGAGATAACACTAACCAAGGTCACCGGAATGTTAAAATTAAAAAGGAAATTCTGCTTTCATCGTTAACAGTTAAATTAAATTTAAACCTGCATAATAATCGTTAGCTATAACATTACTAAGAGTATTTATATATTTTCTTTTAATTTTTAATTAAATCAATGAAATATATCGTAAAAATAATACAGTTGGTTACCTTATTTTAAAAGGTAAACGCTGACGAAAGCAGTAAATTTTTTAAAATGTGAACAAAATGCTTTAGCTTTTAAAATTCTTTAACAAAGATGAATAAAAGAAAAAAATTTGTGGCATAACTCTGAAATATATTAGGAGATTTAATTTGAAATTACGAATTTTCTAAATTTTGTTTTCTTCGTTCTTTTCAAAAGTTATTTTCTTTGATAGATTTTATTTATTTAATGAAACTCATATATATGTACACAAAAAGAAAAGAAAATGAATACTTAGCAACATGTTGATATGAAAAGAATAGAGAAAGAAATTCCCGATCCTTCTCATTTTCAATTCATTGATTGCACGACAAAGTGAAAACCCACTCATTTAATTTATTAATCGATAGTCAACCTTTTCGGCGATTACTTATAATATACAGACTATATAATATTCAAGCTATACATTTAGTTACATATATACATATAATAAACATTTGATCTGGAAGATATGAGCCATACCTTTTTCACTGAGTAAAACCGTGGCTAGTCGTTTAAGTGAACAGGCTGTCCTTCTAATTCGACGGATATGACCGTCGTCGATATGGCTTCCATAGCTGAAGTGGAACTATCTGAGAAATTTTCTGTGCACCACCGAATAGGTGAAATTGTATTTTAATATTAGTAAATAAAAAAGAAGTATCTCCATTGGTATATACAGTGCAATACATATAAAATACATGTTTATAATATATTCTCATGTCACTTTTCATTAATTTCACAATTAATTTTTTTCTAAGCAATGTTTGTAAACATTCTAAATTTTGCAAAATATAGTATTTGCCAGTTCAGACCTTCCGTCCTAAAAAGCGCTTTACTGCTGGTACTATTCGATTTCTTTGTCGATATCAGAACTTCCAAGCTGGCAGACGCATAAATTATATTCTTCTACTTGCTCCTTTCAGCGCCTTCTTGCATGGTGGCCGATGATGGCTTTCCACTTTCCTTTTTATCTATCGGGAAAACAAGAATTTTATTATTAAATTATAAAAATAATAAATTATATTCTTCTACTTACACTTTTTTTACCACATATTTGAAATGACGCTAGTCTTCTTCTTCTCCTATATATATTGTTGTTGCCGTTGCTTATCGTCAGGATCAACTATTACAAGAGATGCAAATCAAAGTAATAAAAAACAATGAAAAATTAGTACTATTATTATTATATTATATTATTATCATTATTATTATGACTATAATAATTATTATTAATTTCGGCAGAGAAATAAATTCTAAGACTAAACTCTTTAAAAGCACTAGCATCTAAGGCTATCGGCTTTTATTAAAAACTCTACCGCACTGGAGATTTTAGAGTAATCAAATAAATTTTTGAAATAAAAAAAAAAGGCAGTGAAAAATTATTAACCTTGCGTATTTTATTGCTTCCTAAAGATCTTTTATTATATTGCATTTTAGGATAAATCTTTTTGTCAGAGCTCATGACGAATGCGAATTACAAGCAACTCTGTGCACATTCTCCTCATATTCTTCTTATTCTTCTTGCTTACTTTTGGAGTAAAAAAAATGGCCGGTTAATGGTTTTCAAAACCAAAGCCGCTTTCTATTTGACAAGTGCAAAAAAAGTAAAAAAGTGATTTTTATTAAAAAGTGTTATCAAAAAGTTTTGATAATCGCAAAAATTCAAGAACAATTTTCCAAAGAAACATTTTACCTTACATAAATATGATAATTCTAAGTGGATTAATTTTTTGCTTCAATTTTATAATTTAAGTGTTCGTACATATAAGCCATCTCATTTAACATACCAAAAAAAAAAAAATTATTTAAATGCATGTCATCGGCATCTCGGGAAGTTTAAGAATAATAAAGATTTAGCTTCCAAATAGATTTTAGAAAAGTCTTAAATTTGTAGGAAGAGATGATTCTTACTATGAATCAAGTGAAGGTTAAGGTGAAGGTGAAGAGTGTCTCTGAGCCTACAAAAGTACAAAAGATGCAAGCAAAATGTGAAAAATTACTTAAGAAGTGTTTTCTGTTTTTATATCCATAATTGGTGGCTTATAATAACCATGAACAGATTCGACAATGCCGGTGCGATGATGTCGGTTGATGACACTCTGATGTGTTCTTTCCAAATTTTGAAACTGGCAGACAAGTGTAAAAAGAAAAATAATTTCGTTAAATTAAAAAAATTTTTTTCATCCTTCAATTGTCCACATTGTGAACGCTGAATTCCCGTTGCTCAGTTTTAGCTGCAGCCAATTCAATATTTGGTCGATGGGATGAAACTAAGGGAGAAGAAAACATTGATTTCATGCCCACCATTTTGTCGCGTTTCGAAACGATTTTCATTATCAAGGATATCCGTGATGAAGCGCGTGACATTACAATGGCTATGCATATCATAAATGTTCATCTTTCGTCAAATAAGTCTGCACCCAATGAACCTGCAGAAGGTGAAATATCATTGCTATTATTCAAAAAATATATATACTATTGCCGGACACATTGCGGACCGCGATTAAGTGAAGAGGCTGGTGAAAAATTGAAAAATCGTTACGTTTTAATGCGAAGCGGAGCGGGCCAGCATGAGAAATTTTTTTGTATTCACAATTTTTAAACAAAAAGCAATTACATGGACTGATAGATTTGTGAAAAAAAAATTTCATGGGTGGTTTCTTTTCTTTTCTCTAAAGCAATAATTGATTAGATGTTAGATAAGTAAAATCGAGGCTGCTTCAAATACTGCCTTTCAATTTTTTAGCTATTTTGGGATTTTGTGGCGAAACATTGCATTTCCACTCTTTCTTTTGTTTATATTCTATAGCAGAGCAAAAAAGTACCATGTGTAGAGGGTACAGAGAGCATGTGGTTGCTTTCAATAAATTGCATCGGGCTTAATGTAATTTATAATATAATATTAGATCAACTGGATCAACTCAACTTGAGTATATCATGGGAGATAATACGATAATTTTAATATTGTATTTTTTATAATAACGAAAAATTTTCAATAAAGTTAAAAAAAGAAATAAAAGCAACAATATGCTTTAATTTACTACTGTTGCTATTGTTTGTTGTCAAATTGCCAATTTGTTTGTTTGTATAGAATTTCAACAGATTTTTTTGCATTGGTTTGTTTTGTTAACAGAGGCTTTTAATTTTTTTTTTTATCTTTTTACATTGTTTTAAGTTAACAGATATATATGTCGGCGGCTTTGCAATTCAACAGAGTTGAGGACGAATGTGTTGCCATTTTTTGACTATGCAACTCTGTGCTCTTTCTACATTTTTATTGTTTCTTCTTCTTATTGCTTAATTGCTCGAGAAACAAAACAAAAACCATGACGGTTTCTTTTTTTATTTTAATTATTTGTTAATATGTACACATATTCGAAAATAATGCATGTTTCCTTATTTTCTTCCTTTTCTTCTTTCGTGAATTTATCATTTCAGGTTTAGCTTGTAATATGATGATGATCTTTTAAAGGAAGACGAAAACTGTATTCAGATATTTGTATATAATAATAACTTAAGTCGACGATGGCTACATATCCGATATCTGATAGTCGTTGTCGTTTTTTGTCCACAGTATCAGAAAAAAAAAAAAAAACAAAAGAAAGAAAACCCTCAAGGTGCAGAGTGTTCCATCAGAAACCATCGAGAAAAATATCCATTTTCATGGCTTTCTGTCGTAATGCTTTTTTTTTTGTTATATTTGTATTATAATGCAAGTTTTTTTTATATGTACACTCGCCTCCTTAGTTGTAATATTTTAATAATATTATTATCACAGTTGTCTCCTAATAGAATACAATTTTTAAGATATTTTTCCTTGTGTAAGAGCAGCGAAGTCAAGATTTCCTTTATACTCTCGTATATTACTTTTTATATACAAAATAATATAAAAAGATTTTAAACAAAAAACAAAAGAAAAGCAAAATGCTTTCATTTATTTATTTATTAATATTTAAAAAGTGATTCATAATATAAAATAGGACAGCTTTGTATTGCGCCATTACTGTAGAAAAAAAACTTGCAAAAAAAATAGTATAACGCAAAGCAATTAATTTTTATTCCAACCAAAAAAATTTAAAATAATGTATAATGAAAATTCTCTCCATAAGTACAACGGTTAAAAATTAAAATTGAATTAGGAATAAAAATCAATTTCATCAATAGATATGTCGGATATACCTGGCACCACTGTCCGTCCGTCTATATCGTCTACGCTAAAGAGAATATACATCCCAAGTTAACGGTATGTTTATAACTAAGTTAAATATATATATATACATATAGATGATACTGCAACATCTTTCTTCGTTAGAGTATTGATCAGGATAAAATTGCTAAAAAGTATTCATGTCTGTGGTTTACAGTTATTCTGCATCTTGTGACAATGGAAATAAAGAGATTTTCGAAAATATTATGAAAAGACATTACATATCTCTACATCATTTCACAATTAAAAAAGAAATGTCTGTAGTAACAAAACACTTTGTTATTTTATACTTGTTTCTCTTTGTTCTTTTTCAAATCAAGTATGTTTTGATTTTTAAAATCAGTTTTTCATCGAGAAATAACATTCATTTTGATTTTTCCTGTGAACAAGCGCAAAGTTTTTTTTTTTGAAAAGTTCTAGGAAAATTCTAGAAAAATGTGCAGCCCTTAGGGTGGCTGCATGCAAAAACACTTTCATATATTCCGTAAATTTAAAGCGATTAGTGGACGATGAAATGGAAGAATTTCAATAAGAATTAATTTTTGGCTACACAATATTGGTTACACAATAGTAACATTAAATTATATTAAGGTGCGAAAGGTAAGAGACATCACAATATCGATTCGGCTAGCGTGCAAATGCTTTACTATGATGCTTGTTTGTAATTCCCATTGATAGCTAATATTAACGAGACTCATCCCGAAAAAGATTGGATATCCGATAAATCTGCTCCATGGATACATTTATCTGCGGCAGTGAACAGCTGGCACAATGTAATTGCCCGAATGAATCTTAGATATAATTGTCAAGCAAGCAATTCGGCAAACAATTGCTAGAAATGTGCTTCTTTTTGAGAAGATCTTGCATGAAGTAAAGTCAAACGTGTTGGCATTTTACTACTGCGTAGGTAAGGTCACGCCAAATTTCCCATTATGCATACCTAATATCGCTTCGGTGACCGATACGGTGAGCTTTTTTGGAGCTGTTTCACATTTTGGTACCAATTAACAATGAGCCGTGTTTCAAGGTAGTTAAAAGCCATGTGGTCCCCTTTGTCCGTCAAAGTTGGTCTCGAACGACTCTCCCGAAAACCGCCTAGTATGTCTCGCTGGTACAGTAAGCGATTTTTGATTTTCATATTGCTGCACCCACTAACGAGTTAAATAGGTCATACATCCTCCCGGAGGATGTATGGGCTTTGCTTTCTCGTTTCAATTCTTCTGCATAGTGAAAGTATTTCATTTATTCGCTAACAGAAGAGCATGCGTTAGGCAAGATTTCGGGCGAACCTTTTGAGAGTAAAGTTGGCTTGGCGATTGGAATCTCTTATTTTTTTTAGAGGTTTTGGACTACACTCTTTTATATTGGCTGATCGCCAATGCAGGGACAAGTCGTATAAATCTTCCTCTAGCCTTCACGGAAGCGATGTTAGATATTCATAATGGGATGTTTTGTGTAAGATATGCCAGTTAAAAAGTATGCGATACATATATAGAAATACATATAACAAAATTTACTTAGCATATCATTTAATAAGTTCCTAAAATGACGTATATATGAAATGAATTATTATTAATTAAAAAAGTGAACTAATAATTACAATAAACAAAAAAAATAGAAGTTTGCTTCAATATCATCTCATAGTTAATTTTTGACTAGCACCTTGTATCTTTCAGTTAGCGTTTGTTCGTGACGATTCTGAAAGTTGATGGAAGATTGTATTTAAAAATTATTATGCATACGAAAAGCAAACAACAAACGAAAGTCACCAAGTAATGCTGAAGATTGTCTCATACATGAAGCAAGCTAGCCGAAAGCGAAAGTGTAAGTTATTAGACATAGAATTGTCAACCGGAATTAACAACTGCGAACTATTTCAAATAATAGAAAAATAAGCGTTCGACCAATTCGATTAATATTGAAATTGATGGGCGGATGATTAATTCAATGAAAAGTACACCTGCAGCTTAGATTATGGAAAAATTATTTCCTATATATTGATGGTAAATGTGCATAACGTGGCGGGAAAATGCACATGTCCCAGAGGATACCAAAAAGTCTAATTAAAAAGATCCAGCTGGCTATTGTGGGAGCTGCGGAACATTGATCGGCTTCCTGTTCGATGAAAAATGATAAGCTTAGCAATACATGCAATGCGGCCACAACGATTAAAGCACCCGTTGAAACCATGGTACTAGGAGCACATAAAGCACAGAGGAAAACAAAAAAAAAAAAATTATTTTACAAATATTTTATGTTTGTAAAAAGCAAAAAAAGAAAAAAAAATATGATGAAAAGTAGGGCTTTCCAAATTTTCCAAATTTACTAGTTTTAGAAACTGTTACATAAGCTAAGATGAAGATAGAACGGTTAGAAAGATTTTTACGCCTTTTATTTGTTCTAGAGGGGAATGCTAACCGATTGTTTAGTTAGTCAAGATGTTGACACTATGCTAGATCGCTGCACTATTGAAATGTTAGTAAGGGTCCGGCAGTGGTGTCCGTGAGAGACGGATGAATTTTGTCAGCGATGGTCTTGCAAACTCTTTCAACATATAATATATTAGATATAGAATTGTGAACTGTAATTAACAACTGCGGACTATTTCAAACAATAGGAAAATGAGCGTTCGACCAATTCGATTAATATTGAAATTGATGGGCGGATGGTTAGTTCAATGAAAATTACAGCTGCAGCTTAGATTAGCGATTATAAAACAAATGCGTGATGTCATTTACTTTATTTTTTTTGCACAAAGTAGAGAGTATTTGAAAAAAGAGTTATCTGTTTTGTATTCTGGCAGCCCCTTTGCGTATTATTGAAAGAAAGACAGAATAAAAAGAAAATAACAGTCAAGAAGATAACGTCAAAATTTGTAACTTTCCATCCATTCCATTCATCCGAAGTTGTAAATATTCTCAGAAAATTTTTTACAATACTTCATATTTAACATATTTTAAATATGTCGGCAAATAATAATAATACGTTGCGTTCTGCAAATGTTACCGAAAACGACGTACCGATATACCATATGCCTTTAACAGTCAGAAAGCATCTTTGTGGACACTTGGATGAGCTCAAAGTATGGATGCAATTAGCTGAGGAAATGCATTTAAGGCCTTCTGAAATTCAGGTAAGAAAAAAAGTAAAATGTTTATATAAAGAGATCAATAATAATTGACTTGTTTTTCATGTTTCTAAAGGACATTAAAACTAAACAGCTAGGATCAGGCAAATCTCCCAGTAATGAGTTATTATTAATTTGGGGCCACAAATACGATCACTCAGTTACTGAACTTTTTAATCTCTTGCATAGGTATTCAAGAAAATTCAAAAACCATTATAATTGAATTATTATTTTCTCATAAAATTATAGATTAAAACTTTTCCCCGCTATGCGTATTCTGAAACAGTTGGTCAGCCGCCAGCACCAATTGAAAATACCGCCTAGTGCGCCGGCTTTCAGTAAAATTATGACCAATAATTTGAATCCTGCTGGTAATAATGATGATCAAATGTCTCAAAAACAGGATAGTACTACCTCAGGTGTTAGTAACTCAAACGACACATCAGACAATAACAATAACAATTGGCGGAGTCGTTCCCGGTTACAAGCAGATAGAAATGAACGCTTATCATTGGTCACTGACTCCAGTGTCCAAAAGTATGCTAGTTGTCTTCTGGAAATTAATTATTTCGAGCTTTGTGACGCCACGAATAATTGGGATGAAAAGTTCATTTTAGGCAAAGGTGGCTTTGGTACTGTGTTTCGTGGTTATTGGAAACACACCGAAGTGGCAATTAAGCAAATTCATTATCGCGGTACAGATGGTCGTGAAAATATTAAAATACAAATACAGCAAAGCCTTAACGAGTTGAAATATTTGAATGCGTGTCGTCACGACAACATATTACCTTTGTACGGATTCAGTATTAAAGGCGAGAAACCTTGTTTGGTTTATCAATTAATGAAAGGTGGTTCATTGGAGCAACGGTTAAATTCAAAAAAAATGACACCGCTTACGTGGGAACAACGAATCTCTATTTGCTTGGGTTCAGCACGGTAATTGCAACAAAAAAAAAAATATATATGTAAATAATTTAAATTCCAAATTTCATTGTAGAGGTATTAATTTTTTACACACATTTCGCAACAAGCCTTTAATACATGGTGATATTAAGCCAGCCAATGTTTTGCTCGATCAATGTTTGCAGCCAAAAATTGGCGATTTTGGTTTAGCCCGAGAAGGACCTAATGATATCAATTCCGCCGTTGAAGTAACTCAAGTATTCGGTACCAGACCATATTTGCCACCGGAATTTTTAAATTCAAGAAAACTGAGTACCAAAGTGGATACATATAGTTTTGGTGTCGTGCTACTAGAGGTATTTACCGGTATGCGAGTTTACGATAGTCATCGTCGCGAGCAATTACTAACGAAACATATAATGAGCCAAACTTGTAAAATTGAAGAGTTAATTGATAAACGAATACCTCTGTTACCGGGTCAAGAAGAAATGTGCAAACGCAGCATAGAATTAAGTTTAAAATGTATAGCAAAAAGCCCTCAGGATCGACCTGAAATGGAAGACGTTTTAAAAACCATTTACACTTATCATGTACATTTCGCTTAAGCAGAACTTCCCTCCCGTGCAATTATGACAATTGATGTGTACCTAATATTTTGAAATGAAAATGCAATGCATTCCTTTTATTTTATATCGCAAAGCGAGAGTGTGCAAAAATTCCATTTTAATTTTTTAGCTTAAATTTATTTTACAATTGAGAATTTTTCAATTATCTATCAAATATGTGTAATGACATATGTAAGTTGTGTACGATTTTTAGCCAATAAGAAAATAAGAATGAAAATATTTCAAAAATTAAAAAAAAAAATTATTTGGAATCTCGAACACATTTTAAATAAATAAAAGCTTTTGGGACAAGATATCGTAATTTTTCACTAGTATTAAGTGTTTTGCGAAAATTTTGATCACTTTTTTATTATTGAGATTCAAAATATTTTCCATCCGTTATTTTCTACAATATTTTATAGTATCTTTGTATATCGTGTCGAAGGAAGTTTGCAGCGATCCACCCAATTTCGCACTTCTTCAACTTTGCGGACTCGCGCGCCAGGAAGCCATCCTGCACCAAATCTAGGTGTGGCAGAACTTTCCATTCGAGCTGTAACAATGGCTCCTGGACAACTCTTGCAACAAGTGGCCAAAGAATGGCATTTTCAATCAATTCGTGCTGCCACTTGTAAACCCTCGAAACTAAAACCGACAATTATGAAGCAGCATCACCATAGCTCTGAACGTGTTTGGTTGGCTTCGGCAGCAGTTTTCTTCAAATAACGAAAGTAATAAATTTGGAAGAAGAATTTTCAACGCTCGCTGATTAAAATCGGTTATGACGAATTTCGCGATTAAGTAGATACTCCGCTTCATGTTCTGAATGTTCATATCCTTAACACATTCTCCACTTTTCTAAACAGCTATTCTCACATGAGAATAAGAAAGAAGAAGCGCTAAAGCGCATTTAGAAGAAAATCTGCAAACTCGAAAAATTGAACAAGAACTCTGAAAAATTCTCCTTCAAAATTTTTATTTTGTTTTTAGTCAAAACAAGTGTAACATCATTCTCTGTTCAAATCAAATTTCTTTATTTTTTCCAAAAACCAAGTAAAAGTAAAATTTGAAAATTGAACAAATATCAATTTATTCATATTTATTTTACTTGGATAATTTTCAAAAATAATATTTGTGCTTTCTCGATTTGCTGACGAGCCTGCAACATTTCCGAAAAAATCAAACTTCCATACGAGTGGAAATCTTCGTTAGAACCTTCTATTTGTGGCTTACAGGTGTTGACAAATAGGTCCACAAATTGATTGGCCAACACATGTAAATGTACGATGAAATGCCAAGCTAACTGGCAAACAACGTCCACTTCATTAACTGTACTGTGATGCTCTTTTATAAGAAGGAGTTCAGCTAATTTGTGCAATTTTAACATTTGTAAAGCAAAAGTTTCTGAAAGAATCATCACGCCGCGCATATATATGCTTACGTTTTGTTAAAGCAGGTTCATCAGACCTTAGCCATTTAAGTGTATTCGACCACAACCTGTATTAAAAAAGTGCATGTATTGCTCTTTGCGACGTCCATTGTGGCAATGGAATCATTATGATTATTTGCACAGGATGATTCTGAAATTGTAAATTTTTTTTGCTAATGATGATCATGATTTTAATCTTAATTGGAGCACATTAAACCTCAAAAGCCTCTACGAAATCCAATCAAGATTTGAGACAGAGATGCGTTGCTGCAGTGAACTGAATTGTAATCTGTCTGTGTGATGTGTTGTTGCAAGCATTCTCTTGCTTGCAAAAATAAAGCAATCGTCTTTCAATTTGGCCAAGATATTGAATGTTCTTCTTCCACGCAGATTGGTTTCGAAAATAGTCTTAATAGGTGAAAGGGCACGTGTGTAAAATAACAAAGATTGAACACATCTTCGCTTTTCGGACGTTTTTGATCGATACTGAGAAATTGCACTATAATAAATACGGTATTAAAACGTTATTAAAACATCCAGGCATTTTTTACAGAAAATCTGTTATTTCTATTCTCTTTTTTTAATTGTAGCATGTTTGTAAAGCATTAGCAGCTTTTCTCCATTGTTTCAATTGTAAATAAATAAGAAATTTATTGATTTAAAATGTCTATTGAGATAGAATCAGTTCAGTAACTTTTATTAAATTTATTGAAATTTCAATGATGAAAAGAAAATTAAAGAGCGCATTCCCTATCAACATGTTAAATGCATGCGAGTTACCATTCTTCCTATGTTTCTTCTTATATATACAAAGCAGATGACAATAATAATCTCAACATCAAATTGAGTAAGAGAGATAGTTGCTTGCTTAGTTTAGAAGTGCTTAGAGGTGCCGTCTACTACGTAAAAACATGGAAAAAGAAGTAATAAAAGAAATAAGTGGTCGTAGCACAAATAATAAGTATTCCGTAAAGAAGAAGCCATTGCCAAAAGTTAAACAGAGAAAAAACGACGTGTATGTGACAAATAAAACAAGTTTTAAAGCTCAGCAAAAGCGTTGTGAAGACCTAATCAATTCGGGAATAAACGAAATTTATCTGCATTGTGTTGGAAATGCCATCAAGCAAGGGCTAAACTTGGCCTTAACTTTGATTAACAATTCTAATGGAAGTTTATCGTATGTGGTATATACATCTACAATTCGTTATATTGACGAATTGCATCCATTGTATGACGACGAAGATATAACGATTCAAAAACGAAATAACTCTGCCATTCATATAAAAATTTTCAGAAATGCAATCATCCCACAAAATTTGAAGGTTTCCTCCCCATAGCTAATTAAGAAACTTGATATATTTTTAAAAATGTCTTTACTGCTACTCACGCAGTTTATCATGATCAGGGCTGGAAATTAGTTAAGATGATGTTTGATGACATTAAGAAAAACGCATATCTATAAAAATAAATGGCTCCTTGTCGAATTGTGTTAAACTGAATTCAAAAAAAGTACATTTTTCTTGTATGTGCATATTATTTTTCTTAATTATATATAAACAAGAACGTAAACAAAAGAAAAATAAGTCCTTTTCTCTCTTGCTTTTATGAATGCGAGTAAGAGAAAGTTTTCTATTTTCAACATTTTTTTTCTTCTTTTTAATGCATGGCAGAAAGAGGAATGTTGAATTATAAAAAGCAAACCCTGAAAAAGTATTAAAAAAAGACAAAAGATTAACAGAGTCCCCCAGATATTTAGATATTTTCTCAACTTTATATATTAGAGTGTTGCAAAGCGGTAACAAAAACAAGTCGTACCGTTTTTATAAAAATACTTTGTAGGACTGAAATCAAGGAACATTCATTGCATTTTTTTTTGATTTTTTTAAATATATTCTTCTTTTGCGAGTCAACTAATCAATGACAGACAATTTTCTGCGTTGAGTAAAATTTTTAAAATATGATTTTCTTTAAGTAAATTAAAAACTTTTCTTGAGTTCCTGTTGATATCAGTTCGGACAAGCAAAAAATACCATCCTGAGCACATGCCAACCTTGATAAGAAGCACTTTAAGTCTTCATAATTCATTTGTAAATAGCATAGAATTAAAGATTTGTTTCTTTTGTCACTGTTACCAGCTAATGCAAGAATATCAGCTGCTAATATTTAATAACAGGTGTTAACTAAAGGAGAGAGATTGCAAAGTAACACATTTCGACTACAAATTTGTCTTGCTTTTCTTGTCATTACTTTTTACCTCGAGTCATTTTTTACTTTTCCTTTTGACGTAATATTTTATAAAAATTCTCTCTTTGAAAACGCACACAACTCTTAACAGATTTCTGAGAATAGCAGGCTGTGTTCAGAATAAAATTCCTTTCATACGGTCTATTGAAATTAAAAAGAAAATAGTAATAAAAGATTATAAGTAAAGTTTGGTACTGAAAAGCAAACTACGATGCCTCCTAAACCTACAACAGCCAGGAAAGCCGGTAAAGCTCAAAAAAATATCACCAAAAACGACAAGCAAAAGAAACGTAAAAGGAAGGAAAGCTACGCTATCTACATTTATAAAGTCTTAAAGCAAGTACATCCAGATACCGGTATTTCATCCAAGGCTATGAGTATTATGAATAGCTTTGTCAATGATATCTTTGAACGTATTGCGGCTGAAGCATCTCGTTTAGCTCATTATAATAAACGTTCAACTATTACAAGTCGGGAAATTCAAACTGCCGTTCGTCTTTTATTGCCAGGCGAATTGGCCAAACATGCTGTCAGTGAAGGAACAAAAGCAGTTACTAAATACACCAGTTCAAAATAAATCAAAGACTGACAAATCATCAACGTTTCCCCTTGAGGTCTAAAGGCCCGTGCAAAAGCCGGCTAATTAATTTTATTTGAAAGGCATAGTATATTTTTTTGAAACAGTAAAGAACGAAGAAGAGAAAATAAACGATTATCCATGTGTTGATGTAGATGAAATTCATTTTATATTATATTTACAGGGTGGTACATATAAGTTTTAATGTCGTTAGTGAAACATTTTTGCTCGCTTTTGCAAATCGCCAGTTGATCATATAAAGCATTAAGTCCATTGCTTATCCTTTGAAAAGAAATTATTTTTGAACAAACGAAAGTAGTGCAAAAACATTTTTTCCCGGGTTATTATTAGATGGACAAAATTTCGATTTTTTCGACCGCAGAGGTTTCCGCGAATGACGGGCCCTTGTTTTTATACCCTACACCACTTGTGGTAGAGGATATGTTAAGTTAGGTGGACGTATGTAACAGGCAGGGGGCCTTAAGATAGACCCATCGTTTATTATACCGATCGATTTAGATCATAATCTAAATAAATGTAAGCGTGTCTGTCGCATGATAAAATTCGGCGCAGTGACGTGTTTTGATCCGTGTTTTGGGCGAAAGCTTTTGAAATGGGGTTCGGATCGGTCCACTCTTTAGGCCAATCATCTGCGTCAATTTTTGGACCCGCTCTCATATAAAGAAAACTGAAGTTCTTACGAGAAAAAGGTATAATTTTCAATGCTTCATGATGAAAATTATATCATAATAGTAATTTAACATAAAAAAATTAACTATACCAAATTTGTTCCTTTTTTCCCATTTTTTTGGATTCTACCCCAAAAAGGATTTTCTCGAGAATTGATCCTTTGTAGAGCAGAAAAGTGTAAGTTTTAACATGTTATGATGGAAATTGACCCATAATAGTAGTATCATACAAAAATAAGAATTGTGTTATGCGAAGTGTTGCAGGGTATTTAATGATCGGCCTTCCCCGACTATGGTTTTGTTTTCCAAATTTGATTCACAATTTAAGTAAGAAACTTCGTATATTTTCTAAAGAGTTCATTCCGGGTTCAAGTTTGTTTATGTGCAAGAGGATCCAGGTTTGAATCTTTTAAAAATTCGAACCAGTATCGATTAAAATCTTGATTTCATTAGCTTTAGAAATTATCCGACATCTTCTTCTATTGATCTTGCCTTGGCAATGTTACCATTAGTAGGCATTAATGCATGATCTCAGAACCTTGCTCTCCCTGATCATGTTCAACTAATAGCAAGTACGCATGGCGTTTGCATTATTCTTTAATTAATTTTCCAAATCTCAAAGCGAAATAATAAAAAAAAATTAAATATATTTATATAAAGTTTGTATACATTTATAAATTAGTCTCAAATAAAATTTTGGTTAATCTATTTTCAGCAGGTTATCTACTTCCAGTTCAATGAATTTATTGTGAGAAATCAACTTTCAAGTTATGCGTGATATATTACTCGTCTTCCGGTGAACAAGAAACCGTATCATTGAACCTTACCTTTCTTGTTATCCTTCCTTTCGTATTTGTTTTCTTTGTTTGGGTTCTCTTTACTTTTCGAAAAATTTTTGTTAAATTTTTCGCTCTCTCTCTTATTTCCAAGGCTGCGCATTCGCCTCGTCTAAGTAAAAAATAGAAATTTCCCGTTGCTTTGCTTGCGCATATCACAAAAGCCAAACTAATTGCCGAAGTAACAATCCCCAAAATATATGCTTCGTATGTATAGAAGACGTACGGGTATAGGCCCATAATTAATAACATGAATTTTGTTAAGCGACAGCAAAGTTTTTCAATTTGACACCACACAATGATTGTTCCGAATTCAGTGATTAATATCGCAAAAATTATTTCCCATATAATTCGACATATTGATGGTAAATGTGCATAACGTGGCGGGAAAATGCACATGTCCCAGAGGATATCAAAAAGTCCAATTAAAAAGATCCAGCTGGCTATTGTGGGAGCTGTTGAACATTGATCGGCTTCCTGTTCGATGAAAAATGATAAGCTCAGCAATACATGCAATGCGGCCACAACGATTAAAGCACCCGTTGAAACCATGGTACTAGGAGTACAAAAAGCGTAGAGAAAAACAAAAAAAAAAAAAACTTATTTTACAAATATTTTATGTTTGTAAAAAGCAAAAAAGAAAAAAAAATATGATGAAAAGTAGTAGGGCTTTCCAAATTTACCAAATTTACTAGTTTTAGAAACTGTTATATAAGCTAAGATGAAGATAGAACCGTTAGAAAGATTTTTACGCCTTTTATTTGTTCTAGAGGGGAATGCTAACCAATTGTTTAGTTAGTCAACATGTTGACACTATACTCGATCGCTGCACTATTGAAATGTTAGTATGGGTCCGGCAGTGTTGTCCGTGATAGACGGATGAGTTTTGTCAGCGATAGTCTTGCAAACGCTTTCAACCTATAATGTTTTCTTCGTGTAACACGCGGAATGTAAAATTTTTGATATCCGATAGCATTTGGTTGATCAACGTTTAGATTATGTCTAATATCTAAGATTATATTTGATGATGGTTTGTGTCAAGTTTTGACTGTTTCAATATATCGATAGCGGAGAGCTTGTTAAGAGATTGAAATTTTCGCATAAGAAAGTCTCGCAAACCAATTCCAATGTACGTTTCCGTTTACTGCAGTCTCTTTACGGAGTATATTTTTGTGAAAACCATTCTTGAAAAAAACAAAGGCGATCTATGTACTTCGAATATATAGGTTTCGTTTTATCTCCTTTCAAACGATATATGCACTTCTTATATATAACATATCTGAATAATAATTTCCCGTATTCACTTTATATACGTGACTTCTGTAATGCGGAGATTTTTGTGAACAAAAAAAACTACTAAGAAAGAGATGCTTTTACAAGATTGTATATAGACCGCTAGCCTTATACTGTATCTAACAAGATTAGGATAAGCAAACTAAAGTTTTGTTCTCAGGTGTGGCTTACTCAATTCTAGTTGGAAAAACACTTTCCATTATATTATAAAAGAAAAGTCCTTTGACCGGTATTGCACGGGTAATCAAATCCTAGTAGAAAAAAAAATCATTAGTTCATTTCCAGCAAAAACGGACTAAAATTCATTCATCGGGGGAGTTCTAGTTTAATAGATTCTTTTTTGTTTTTAGCATTGGAGATGGTTTTACCATTCGTAATCCTAACAAGTGTGATAAGTAATCGTTGTTTATGTTAACTGATGTAATGTCATCGTCAACTAAGGCGATGACATTGTACGTCGGTATCTTATAAAAGTGAACTGTTAATAGCGTATCTTTCAGACTGTAAGTCGCAACTTTTTAAAAACAAAATTGGACTCAAATTTTGGATGCGTCCTTTGGTCCGAAGGTAACAATAAAATATTTTTTTCAATAAAATTTCTAAATTTTAGATTTGAAAGGAGTGACAACAATAGTTCAGATGATTGTAATACGAACGATGACATTAACGAGACGGTTGATAGTACTGAGAGTGAAGATGAATTGAATATTGCTAGTATGAGTTATGTTACCATAAATAAAAATATTGATCCTAAGGTAACATTTCTTTAAAAATCATCTTATAAATTTGAAATGCGTCTTTCAGTCCGAGAATGATCGGGTACATATTTTTGGTATAAGAGCCGTGCGTGAGACAGACCCATCTAAAGCTGTCTGTACGTTCGTCAGTCTGGCTAATTTTTGGTCCAAGGGCAAACGCATCGATCGGATCGGACCAGTTTTTCGACCACTCTCCATATAAAGACTTATTGTGAAAGGCAGGATGGGTCGTATCCCACTTAAGTGTTGTTCAGATACCAACAATTGTACTTAAAACTGTATATCACGAAGAGCCGTCATTCGACTCTCTATGTCTTTGAACATCCAAAGTAAATTGACTCGCGACCTATGAATTCAATGACTAATGACTTGTGTTACTCCAAACTTGATTAAGTTTAGTATTAAATCATTATTATAATTATAATTATTCGCGGGACTAAGCATTTAGTTTATCTTTTACAAAGAAGAAAACCCGGTAGTCTTAGTTGCTAGTACTTATCTAATGGTTGTAAAATTTATTTTTTTGGTCTAAATAAATTATAACAGGTAAGAAGGTTATTTTCGGCTGTACCCAAATCTGGCATACCCACTATTATTAAAAACTTTGGCGCCCCACGTCTCGATTTATCCTCATAAAAAAATGAATAGGATAAAGTTAAATTAGAATTATTACCTTGTCGCCTCCCACTCCCTAAGTCCTTTCACATGTTACTCGTACTAACGTATTGTAACAGAAAAGAGAAAACTTTAGGCCATGCCCACACGATAGTAGAGTTTTTTGTAAAGTAAATGTAGAAAATTGCATTCTTTTATTTTATCTATAATTCGTGAGTAAGGAGCAAAAAGCCACAAATTTTTGTTTAGAAAAAGAAATCTACGTTTAGTTTACGTTCCATTGCAACTCTGCTTGCTCTAAGCGATTTTCACTACGAAACTTTCGCACTGTGTGCGACTACATCTTTGACGCCAAGAAGAGTGCAACAACATATACCACATAGACATATTTATCTATAGATGGACAGGCATGGCTTAATCGGTTTAAAATATCATGTTGAGCAAGAATATATATACTTTATACGGTCTCTGAAGTTTCCTTTTAAGACAGAATGACTATAACGTAATCCTTCGATGATACTCCTAATAATAGTAATAATAATACTATTATTTACATAATGAAGTCTAAACCAGGGAAGACAATCCAAGTATATGCTAAACAATAATCTGACACGGTTTTTTTTTTAATATCATTATCAAAGTAGTAGCAACTCTGAACCGGTGGCGTCTTTTATTTTTTGCCTGCATATAATTTGCGCACACCGATTTTTATAAGTTTCATTTAGGAATTACTTAACCATAAGATCACCAAGAGAGTAATATTAAGATGGCTGCATCCATAAATGGTGTTTTTCCTACAACTTTGCAAGAAAAGATTAAAAGTTCTAAATTATTGGTAGTGGGCGCAGGTGGTATAGGTTGCGAAATATTAAAGAATTTGGTTCTTTCCGGATTTCCATATATTGAGATTATTGATTTGGATACAATCGATTTAAGTAATTTGAATCGTCAATTTTTATTTCATCGTGAGCACGTCGGCAAATCAAAAGCTCAAGTAGCACGTGAAAGTGCCTTACAATTTAATCCGGATGTGAAAATCAAAGCCTATCATGACAGCATTATAGGGACGGATTACGGCGTGAATTTCTTTCAAAATTTTGATGTAGTGCTTAATGCTTTAGATAATAGGGCAGCTCGTAATCACGTCAATCATATGTGTTTAAATGCACATGTGCCCTTGATTGAGAGTGGTACAGCCGGTTATAATGGCCAAGTAGAAATGATTAAAAAAGGCTTAACACAATGTTACGAGTGTACACCGAAAGCAACTCAAAAAAGTTTTCCTGGCTGCACTATACGCAATACCCCATCTGAACTAATTCATTGCATAGTATGGGCTAAACATCTTTTTAATCAACTTTTTGGCGAAACTGATGACGATGAAGATATTTCACCTGATGTAGCTGATCCCGAAGCTCAGGGTGAATCACCCAATTCGCATAATGATGGTGGAGGCGCGCAGGCAAGTGGTGATGATGTATCCCAAGCGGGTAATGTAGTGCGAGTTAATACAAGGCAATGGGCCAAAGATAATAATTATGATCCCGAAACCTTATTTAACAAATTTTTTAACGACGACATCAAGTATTTGTTATCTATGTCGAATCTTTGGAAGACCCGTAAACCGCCAAGACTCATTCAATGGAATAATGCGTTATTAAGACAAGATAAGGCGAATTGCGATCATCAATTCATGCGTCAGTATCATAAAATATGGTCATTGGCAGAGTGTGCCGCAGTTTTCGAGGATTGTCTCAAGAAGTTGCGTACCAATGTGGAAAACTTAGTGGAGGGTGACTTTCTGGTTTGGGATAAAGACGACCAACCAGCCATGGATTTTGTCGCTGCTTGTGCAAATGTGCGTGCTTATATTTTTGAAATTGCGCGTAAATCACGGTTTGAAGTGAAATCAATGGCTGGAAACATAATTCCTGCTATAGCTACCACGAATGCGATTACAGCTGGTATTGTAGTCCTTCAAACAATTAAAATTTTACTAAAGGATTTTAATAAATGTAAATCGGTGTATATGCGTTTGCGTCAAAATCCCCGACAGCAATTGCTCGTACCTGAAAAGGTTCTTTCCACTCCAAATTCTAATTGCTACGTTTGTGCCGCTGAGCCAGCTATTCATTTACGCGTCGACACTAAACGCATGCGTATTAAAGAATTGCGCGATGAGGTTCTCAAAAAAACAATCAATATGATCAATCCTGACGTACTTATCGACAGCAAAGGTGTAGTTGTCATCTCGTCAGAAGAAGCAGAAACCGAATGCAATGAGGAGAAATTTTTGAATGAATTGGACATCGTTGACGGCGTTATTTTGAAATGTGATGATTTTTTCCAGAACTATGAACTTAACATAATCGTTATACATACTGACGCAGAACGTGAATGTCCCCTATTTGAAGTTGTAGCTAATAAAGATCAACTTAAGCCAAAAGAGGAAACTGTACCGAATAAAAAAGAAAATATGGCAGACGGCCCTTCTACATCAAAAAAAACTCGTTTAAATCAAACCATCGAATTTAGCGATGATGACGATTTATGCATAGTCGAGGAAGAAGATGAATGCGTGAAAGGTCAGACTAAGGATATTTGTGTACAAACTTCAGAAACGGAAATGGTAACTAAAAACACAAATATGCTGCGTATAACATTATCTAGCCAAGATGAACCCATGCCAACGGTCAAACGTAAAACTACAGTCGTAGATATTATTGACGATGACGTCATCGAAATACTTGACTCAGACGAGGAACTCGGCCCAACCAAAATTAAACGCATTCGAGTCGCTGAGCCACAATCAAATCACGGTAGCGAAAATATTATTAATATCGATTGAATTAATCGTTTGTTTATTCATTTTCATCCCATAAAAACGTATGTAGACAGTACGTGAAATTTTTTTTTTTTTCATAACATTTCTGACAAACAGAAATAAAGAACTGAAAAAGTAATGAAAAGTAATTAAGCCCAAATGGCTGCGTTTCCGTTTAATAAAGATTCTGTGCCCGTAATCATAAAAAGGAGTTTAAAAAAAAAAGAAGATCAGTCAGTAAAAATGCATAATGAAGAGAAGAAATTTACGACTTCACATAAAGTAAGATTAGCCTGATGATTAACTGTAAGCTCACCCCCGTTTAAGGAAAAAAAAATTTTTGTAGCTTACATGAATAGGAGTTTATCTCTTTTCTCCTAAGACCATAATTTAAAAAGAATAAAGAATTTCATTAGAAATAGTTAGAGAAACAAATTATAACCAGCCAAGGCTGGCAATTAAAATTTGGTGCAGTGAGGATTTTTTTGGACCCAAGGATGAACGGTATTGAAAATGGTAAGGATTGGTCCACTTTTTCGATCACTTCCCATATAACACTCTATTCTGAAAAGTCGTTATATGGAAAAAAATTGCAATTTTCAAAATTTCTCAACAAAACTGGCTAGTCATTCTAAATTGATATGAAAGCTTTGCACCAGCTGGGGAAATTTTTGAACGCCCTCTCATATAACGAAAACTAAAGGTCATACGACAAAAATTTAAATAATTTTCAATGTTTGGACCAACTCGGCCGATTCTTGGATTCTTATGCCTTATGAAGGGGTTAAATTTGTACTACATTAGGTTGCGTTTTGGGCCACCTTTCCCCATAAATACGAATTGTGTTAGACAGAATTTGTGGCAAGGGTTTAACGTGGGTTCCTGCCTGAAAGGCTTAACCCCACGGTGGCCCAAGCCACTTTTAAGCGTACTACGCCCCCTGGCGAGTTAGACAATCCCCACAGAGTAGGGGCCTAAACAGCACCAGAGTCCAGAACAGTTTATTGTGTATGGAACAATAAACCCCACTCTGGTGAATGGCGAGGCCTAGCTGCACTCAATTGTTCCATTTTAGCTAGGAACTCGCCAATCACAACCACCACGAGTACTCCCCGAAGGGCCGCACCCAAGCAGTCAGGACTCACAAATTGATCAACTGACTGCTTCCGCCATAAGGCTTCCACTGTGCTGTTGATCAATTACCACCATTACCCGCAGGCAATGGTGTTAGACAATGTGATGTAAGGTGTTTTATGCCCTGCCTTGTCCGACTATAATGCTTTTACTTGCTATTAAAATGGGTTGTTTTGATTGACTCGCGAGAAAATAGATGACGAATTGACAGAGGTGCTGGTTATTCGAAGTATATTTACTTAAGAGTGGAACGATATTTGTTATACTATTGCCACTACGGTGAGTTGTAGTGTCTTTAAAGGTGAGATGAGTATGCATTAATTTTTTTTTTTTTTTGACAAGTTATTTCTTTATATTTAAATATATCTATCAAGTGTTGAAAGTTTGTTCTTTCAACTAATACGTTTTAATCTCTTTTACTAATTAAATCAAGTCTGTAGTTTATTTTGATTGCCCATTTACCAGCGCATGGATTAAATATAAAATTAAAATTACTATCATTATTAAATTCATGTTTTACTTTTGTGATTACGAGCGCTACTAGGAATCCGAAGATTATCATACCGTTAATAAGATGAAGTTGTTTTGAGAAGTCATTTCTTGTGCGTGACGCGCGTTGCACTTTGCATGCTGTTGGAATTACCTGCAGCGGGGTTTTCCGATTGAGCTTCTTTCGAACTGGCCTCTTCTCATTGACTCATTGCTGGTTGAGTAAGTCGTAATGGAATGATCTTAGTATTATCTTTTGCATTTCTCTAGCATAATTAATTAATTTCTTTTCCTAATTAACGCTATATGTTTAATTATATATACATTCAAATTTTACATTTGACAATTAATGCTTGACAGCGCTTTAATGTAAAATGATCTGCACTTTAGTTGATATACAAAAATTCCTTAAAAATTCATCACTTCAAGCTAATAAAGCTTAACGATTACTTTCTAATTTCGGGGATTGTTCTAACAAGACTGTAAGTTTGAATGTTTAAATACCAGAATACATTAATTGACAAAAACTTTTCAGCTTTGATGTTAGTGTTTGGAATAAATGTGAATTAGTGCCTCGACAGGTATGGTTAAAGCAAATCGCTGGTAAAAGTGCTTTGCATTGCATTATAACTGACAAGATCGATAACGGGGTTATAATAGGAGCAGGGCCGCAGCTCAAATGCATTACTATGTTTTCTGTCGGTTATGACCATATCGACTTGGACGCATGTAAAAAATTGTGGGAACGTGTGGGTTATGCACCCGATGTCGTCACGAATGCTACTACGGAATTAACTATGGTTTTACTGTCGGCTTCGGGCAGGCGTATGTTCGAGGCCAACAGAGACGTTTATAGCGGTTGGGAGTCATGGAGTCCGAATTATATGTGTGGGCAACGTTTAAAAAGCTGTCAAGTAGGTCCCTTCGGTTTTGGTCGTATTGGTTGAGAAATTGCCGCACGTTTGTTGCCCTTTAAACCTAAGAAAATAACAAACACTGCGGGCATTCAACACCAGGAGGTTGCTGCAAAAAATCTGGAGCATGTTATGCAATCTTTGAGGAGATGGCGTCTGAGTCAGACGTCATTACTGCTTGTTGCGTCCTTCCACATAGCACTAAGGGAATATTCGACAAGTGCGCTTTTAGCAAAACGAAACGAAATTGCACTTTTATAAGTGCTGCCCAAGGAGGTATAGTTGATCAGAAACCTTTATATGAGACCTTGAAGGAGAAACGGATAATGGCTGCCAGACTCGATGTAGCTACACCCGAAGCTTGCCTTTAGATGATTCCTTGTTAAATAACATTGTTTTACTACCACATATTGGAAGTGCTGTTGTTGAGACATGCAGTCAAATGTCGCATATGACTGCTTTAAAGGGTATGCAAATGGAAAAAGCGACGAAGGCCAAAGACGAAAGATATTCGAACATTTCAGTGATGACGTGTTATTTATAACAGAGTCGTAATTATTTTATCGATAAAAAATATTTACTAAACGTGATTACTGTGTTTATTGACTTGAGTAACAGGTATATAACACTTACCGTAGCAAGTAACATGCAAAGATTAAAAAAATAAAACAAGTCGGTCCAAGCCGACTATTAAAAACCCTATACTAACACTTTCTATTTTTGCCATAAAACACTTACTTCGACTTTTCTTCTCTACAAAGGATCACTTTTTGTAAATAGTAGGATGGGATCCAAAAATAGATGCGGGTGGTCCAAATTTAGTACAGTGAATTTTTTTATCATAAATTACTATTGTAACATAATTTTCATCATGAAACATTGAACTGAACATGAAACTTTAGTGGTATAAACTTTAGTTTTCTTTATATGAAAGGCGGTTCAAAAATTGCCCCAGCCGGTCCAAAGTTTTCGGACCTATTTTTGGTGCCAAAATATTAGCCATTCCTGTCGAGAAATTTTGAAAATGAACGAAAATTTTAAATACCACGATGTTGTCATTGACGGGGAGGTATGCTAAACGGACAGACAACGATTCTACTTTTCTCGTTGATCAGGCGAATCTATATTCTGTAAGTGCCATAGTGGGTATTTGTAAGATTTCCAACACACTCCAGCATTTCTAACACACCAAAGCGTCCTATAGTCATGGCCATAACTGGCATATCTGTAGTATTGTTTCTAGAAACCAGCGGATTAAATGCTGCAATTAACTTTAATATTAATCACTTATATTAAATTAATTCCCTCTTATGAAAATCCCGTCAATTTCATGATACTACACGGATAAAGACAATTTATTATTAGATTTGTTACTTCAATGCTTCAAATTTACATAAGAAATATTTTTAGGATTTTTGATACAATTTTAGCATTAAAGACATTAAACACTATTTACTAACTGCTGTTGCCCAAAATCTACGGTACTCACAATGACGGAGTGTAAGAGAAAAAATAGACAGTTCTTTCTTTTTTCTACAATTATAAATATTTTCAAATTTTCTTATTTTCTTCTTGTTTTTAATTCACTTATACAAAATTTTAAAAACAATTGACAAATATATCTATGGAAGAAAAGTAGGGTTTGGAATAGCAATTATATTTTCCTTGGCTAGAAGTATTGCATTTGGAACGATTAACCCTTTGAATATTCTACAATCAACTTCAGAACAGAATATCAATTCAATATTTTACTTTATTAATACTACTAAGCTTATTATCTAATATCCATTTATTTAAATTAGAGCCGATAGCCTGTGTTGCTAGTGCTCAATGTCTCTTTTTTTAGTCTAAGAATTCATTTCATTAGTCTAAAATTAAAATAATAATAATAATATATTTTCTGATTGATTTTGAAACATATTGGATATCGAATAATATCGAAAAAATTGACGTCGTAGTTCTATCTCGTGCCACTTATGGTACATTCGTATTCAGGTTTCGACGTGCATATATAACATACAGAAGGAGTTAAGATAGATTCACTTTTCAACTGTGCCGAAAACTAGTTTTCCAACAGGCTGGAAATCGATCTGCAAGAGAACGATTGAAAATGAATGTAATAATATGATCAGGTTCATCTATCCAGTATTTGAGAACAGCAGAGGGAAGTCCAGAAAGTTTAAGTATCAGAGATAATTCTTTTTGGGAGGGATGTGCTTTCGTTTAGTAGATACGGATATGGACAGGTTGGGTTAAAGTTGCTAGCGATGAAATTGCGTTGAAAGAAATTAGCGAACAAGTTTGGAATCACAGCTCCATCGTATATTTTAAAAGCGTCTAAGGACGTAAGCAACTGCAAATGCAGTGACTTTTCTCTTAGAATTGACGAATTTATAAAAACGCTTCGGCTTATTGATAAAAGAAGATTTAATTTTAAGCAAGTAGCATAAGTGTAATATTTTCTGTCAAGTTGCGAGAAATTACTTTTCGCCGCAGCGTAAATGGTGTACTTTGGTGTTGCGCCACTTTTTTGCTAATTGTTAGGCAATCCACTCTTAGTATTGTTTAATGACATTAACGTAGGATTAAACCAGACTGGGTACGTGCATATCACTTTAAGACGGGACATTGAAATGGCATTGAAGAAAATGTCGTCAATTACGCTTTTATTAAACGAGGAAACCAAAATATCAATGTCTACGAGACGGACGGGATTGATCTGGATTAACACGCAATACTAATCTTTTAAAAAGAGTGAAATCAGTTTCATCAAGAGCATACCTTCGCTGGCCATGATTGACGGGCCTGACAGAATGGACTTGACCGCCGTACTAAATTGTATTATTGCGTGACGGATGATGGGAATCCTCAGGTAAGATGAAAGGCAAATACCGACTGATGGGGAGATCACACATTAGACAGCAACTTGACGCCACCAATCACAATAATTGCATCAGGCGGCTTCACGCTATCCACCACTTCAGCAATAAGTGAGGCAGTGTAAGAGCAAGTAACAACAACGATTCTTTGTGCAGCTTTCAAGTAAACGGTAATAAATTCAACATCCAAAGACATAGGGGAGTCCAAGACAGAGATCGGTACATCTAAAAGAACGCCAACGTCAATCTTATTTGACCTATTCTTCCTAAACACGTGGTCACAAGTCGGAAAAAGTTCCGAGCTATGCGTTGCAGGCTTCAGCAAAGTTTCCGTAATTGGTAATGCTGAAAAATCAAGGCTTAGGCAACTAAGCTAAACTTGCCTTAGCTTAATGTTTACGCGTCTAGCATTTTGTTAAATGGTGGAGAACTGACAAATTAGTTTTTTGAAAGCGTAGCAACTGTAGGTTTCGGAGCCCCTCATTGCCGGATCGCCCCTCTGCTTAACCCTTGGACCCGTTAATCTCTGGATAAATCTTTAATGAAGGCTTCGTCAGACCAGAAAACCTTATCTTGAATAGTGCTGAAATATATTCTAGGCAAAAGAAGTAATATTCCTCTCCTGCTCCGACTTCAAATTAGAAAACGACATCCTATTAGCGTTAAGATCAGGAACACGCCTCTTCAAAGGACGAATCAGGCTTTGATAGAAAGATTAATTTCCTCGAGGGCATCGATACTAAATCCACGCCTAACAAGCGGCGGAGGGAATCCACACGAGCGATAGTAGATACCCTACCATCCAAATTGCCACATCTTTCCTTCAGAAAAGAAAGTGATCCTTCATTGGCATAGAAAGTGCATAGAAAGAGTTCGAGGACTGAAAACCAGTTACATTGAATGCCGAAGCTTAGATCGATGGAGAAGGCGCTTCTATTGTTAATGGGCAAGCGACATTCGTACCAGTCGTAACAGACAGGGTCGGACACTGACTCGGAGTGGGGTTTGGAGAGGTTAAAACCAACAAGTCCCCCCAGAAGGACAAGCATTACGATTGTTTTTATATTAACCTTTACCGGAATGGGTGATAATAGGACGCTTGGGCATAACAAGTGGTGAAGAGCTTCCCAACAAATGACATCCCCGACACAGTTGAAGTCTCCTAACGAGACAGACGCTTTCCTTCGTTGATATTATTTTTACATAATTGAACTTAACCATTATTTGCAATAGAATTTCGCATTACTTTATCATGATCAAAATTAATGGAAAATTTACAAGACGTAATAAGGTCGTTATGAACGGATAAATTAATCGGTTTGCTAACCGACCCAATGGTCATCGTAGCCCATGAAATGGATGCATACTGTAGGAAGGTAAAATCGTATTTCCGCGCTTTGTCTTTTGTGTTCTATAATAAAAATAAAAATTGTGTTGGACAACGTGGTGTAGGATAATTAATAGCCAGCCTTGCCAGACTACAATGTTTTTACTTGTTTGGTTTTGTGTTGGCAATCAAAGGCTTAACTTGTTCCATGCTTGCATGATTTTGTTTTATTTCGCGATAAATCGCAAGACATTTTTAACGAAGACACGACCCTCAAAGAATGTGGGTTATCTTGGAGGGCTATCTTCACTTCAGCTGAAGTCGTTACAATCGACAACAGCGGAATATACGAGCAAATCATTGTAACGAACAACGATATGAATCACGAAGATTAAGAAACGCACAATCACGAGCAAGCCCAACGTTC